CTATGTTAACATTGGAAAAATTCCTATGTCACATAGGAATTTTTCCTATGCAAAAATAGGAAAAATCCCTATGTTTTTTTCTCCGTGTAGAAAAGGAATGGAGGAGATAAACGAGAAAATGTTTCGTGGAAATAACAGTCGTCTCAAAAACGTCCGGACTATTTCTAATTGCACTATCCCGAGGATTAATCGATCATTTTTCTGACGTGTATAGTGCAAGGACATGAAAAACGTTGTCACTGATGTGATGATATATTTCGAATATTGCATTTCTTTAATTTAATTTTATAAATTAAGCGCGACCCTTTCAATTAATTAAAAAGCGTAAAAAAATTTTTTTTACAATAAATAAAATTTTTTAACAAAATTTTAATGAATTTATACATAAAATTTGTGCATTTTTTATCGTATATTTTGAGTTATTATTTAATAAATTCACCCAGTAGGATAATAAATTGACAAACATGTGTCAGCTTGCATTTTTCTGTATATTTCGATTAATCATTTTGATTTGACAAAAATCAGATCTCGCGTGTAGATTAAAACAGGAAGTAAATCATGGAATTAATAAAAAAAATTTAGACTGTTATTGAGGTAAACAAACAATAAAAAGGAACGACTAAAAAGCTATTTGTGCTTGAATAACACCGATATTTTTTATTCGTTTCGTAGCATATCTATTTTATACATATATATGTACAAGTATGTATGGATATATTTGAAAAAATGTATGGTGGGTAGCAAGCGAGAGTTTCACAAAAATAATCACGAGTATTCAAAAGCACCCTGGCGCAGGTAAATCGTGTGAAATTGGACAAAATAAAAAACATTAAAGATATCACAATAGCATTGGGCATTTTATTAACTCGAAAATTTAAATCGGACAACAAAAATGCTCTCGGGTATGTCCGATGCGTGATATCGTATTATCTATGCTCTCCAGGGAAAAACTAAACCAACCGATAAAAAATCTGTCGCGAGATATTTCCAATTTAAAATAAAAAACGATGCAAATTTATTTTACTTTCAAATTCAGTGATCGTTTGTTTTGTTATTCTTATACAAATTAAATTAATAAAAAGCTCGGTAGAATACAGGACAATGAAAAAGAGCCTTAAAAATTGAGATCGCTGTCAAAGGACGAATTCACACCCTCGGATAAGTCCACAGGATTTGAGATTTAAAAAGGAGCTCCGAAGCCTCCTCGGGAGCTTATCCCGATTTGGTATATATATTTTGTTTGAGATACATTATGACAGCTCCCCGTTCAAAGACGCTGATTTTTACGCATTATCAACCCTCAAAATAAATTCAAGGTTAATAATTTAACGATGATACATTTTTTATTGCTTTTGATATTTATTGGTGATAAAAATTAATTTATTTCGTCAAGAGGGTCCTGACAAAAAGAGGTCTTATAAGTTAAGATGTTATTTATAATAAAAATAAAATTCTTTTATGCATTTTTTTGAACCACTGCTTTCAATTTTTTAAAATAAAAAAATTTTAATTTTTCAGAAATAATAAAGCATTTTAATCAATTTCTAAGTACAAGATATTTTATTAAAAGTATGACAGCTAACCTCTGGGAAAAAATCTCTAGAGAAGCAATAAAAATAGTTGCTCTTAACTCTGATAGCAATATCATCGAATGTAAAGGGAACAAACATCTAGTATTACGAATTTAATATCCTATAGCGAAAAAAATAATGAGACAGTAGATCTGAAGTAGAGCCTTTAAGCCCTTAACTTTGTAGTCTTCAACGTTATCATCGTGTCTCTTCTTTTCTTCTCTATTCTCAGTGTACCGGTTGAGCACAAGAGCTGAGAGCTAAGAGCGGAGTTTACGTGAGCGAAGATACCCAACAGTATAAAGTACAATACAGCTGGAGGCATCAAGGTCCATAGTTCACCCACTCAAAAGCTTACAAATGTTCACTGAAGCGATTCCAAAGCCACACATGCCGAATGCCAGCTACTCAGTCTAATCCTTGACGATACAAATTTTATTCACTCAATACTTTAAATATTTGACGCATTTTTATTTATTTATTGAAATTTATGAAATGTCTCTCCCTAATAAGAATTAATGGAAGGGCTCGAGTGCTTTTTATTCTTCATTAATATTAAATACATCACACCTCCCCATCGGCACGTCGTCGGATTTTTTTTCGGCAAAAAATAAATAAATGAAACGAAAAGTATCGTTTGTACTCCCGGGGAATACATATTCGCCCCGAAAGCAGAAGGCTAAAGGCGTAAGGTCCTGATCTGAGAATTAAGATTTAGGTCAGTGGCTGCTCGTAAAATTTGATTTGTGTATCAATAAATCGGGCTGCCAAAAATAATTGAATTTTTTTGGACTTTGATTTTTTTGGGCTTCAGTAATTTTTTCTTTTCATACAGAGTTTAGTTTATGGGTTTAGTAGATATAGTTTAAGGGATAGTAGAGCAAATGGGAGGGACATCCAATTTTCTCGATATCATCGATACAATTTTATCGCCGTGGCGCTTAGTCGATTTTCACGATCGAGTTATCGGATCGAGGAATAAATCATTAATAACATTGTGTGGGTGGTGTGCTTTCAGGGAGGATACTCTGCTCACCAAGGGAAACTCAACGAGTCTCCAGCTAGCCACATGGGCGCCCACCGGGAACGCACTTGTCTTTGTTCATCTTAATAATATTTACTACAGACCGCACGCCGATAAACAAAAAGATTATCAGATTACCTTTGATGGCGTCTTTAGAAGTGTTTTTAATGGGATTCCTGATTGGGTTTATGAAGGTGAGTCTTTTTTATTACATTTTTAAAACTTTTGATTTAAATTTTTGAAAGTCAGAATATTAATTAAAATATATTTAAAAATTGATTTTTTAATTTTCATTAATTTTACCGACAATTTGCATATGAAAAATATTTATGTAAAAACACAAAAAATGTGTATTATTTGTACATCATGATAATATTTTTTGTTTTTTCTATGATAAATATTTTTTATATTTCAATCAATTTTTTTTTATGAGAGAATTAATTAATTTACAACTTTTATATTTAATATTTCATTGAAAAAGTATTTCCATTTCAAGTCTCGTTATTATTTAATAAAAATATTGAATATAAGTATTTAAAATCAATAATCATTTTAAGTTAATATAACACAAATATTTTATTTACAAGCTAACTAAAAATATATATTCATTACTCAACATGAATAATAATATCCCGAATCGAGTAATAAAAAAATTTTACGAAAAATAAAATTATATCCCCTATAAATGAATACATATTTGAACAAGGACATTTGCTCTGTTTGAAAAGCATATGAAAACCTAAAATAAGCCAGAAATGTTATGATTATATTTATTACAAATGTATAATCTTGTCAGTGATACTTTTTCATTATTCCGCCATATGTATTCATATGTGTGTGAATGCTGCATGCATGTGCGTAGGTAATATATTTGTGGAACGCGGGAAAAATGGAAAAAATGTAACGAAGTGAAACAAATGTGTTAGGCTGGAAAAATAGATGTTGACTGACGAAAGCTAATATATGAATGCGTAAACTGAAACACAGTAGAGCAGCGCACACCCTGTACTGGTGAAGGCACTAAAGCACGTGAATTATTGCTGCGACGGGATTTTGAGCTCTGTATTCCTATATATTCCGTATATTTGTATATATGGCACAATACTGGGAGGACGCCGGTGTCTAGAATAGGTTAATATATGTTTCAAATACAAGTCTACGAATGTCCCGGGTCTCTGGGGTGTTCCGAGAGCCACCTCGAGATATTACTTGCTCATGATAAATTGACAAAACCACCAATCCTCCATCTAAAAACACAAACCGTATACTAAAACATTAATAACATCAAATGTTTATTTATCTCACGCTTTTTTTTAAATTTATAAACCTGTTGGACTGTGAAAAAATTTTTTAATTGTGCCTGATGTGAAAATTAACCATATAAGGCTTGATAAGCCGGTATATAATTTTTTTTATCAAAATTAGTGATGAAAACATCCAACAGGTGGCGCATAATCGCTGAATTATCTCATTATAAGAGAGTTAAGTTTGAGATCTTAAATTTTTAACTAAAAAAATTTTTTTTGCTGTAATAAATCTAATTGAGTTTCTTTCCTAATTTTTTTTTTTAAATTAAATTGCTTGATCAAAAAGTCAAAACATAAAACATTATTTAAAGACAATAATCAACAGTTTTAAGGAAAAACTTTAGGTGTAAAATGAAATAGAGCTGGGAAAGTGAATGTAAATTTAGAGGTGAAATGAAACTATATATGCAAAACTGTATCACACGGTGTTCAACAAGCTTATTCCTCCTCCCTCCTTTAGCGTCGACAACTTCCGTGTTAGTTAGAATAACCCGTCTCACAAACTATAGAGAGCAGAGCACCCGAAAGCTTCTTTTCCGTCTGGACCCTCATCATTCTCGCAATCCGCAACTTTTTTTCTTCTCGCTTGCCTCCGGTCCCTGAAAAACGGTCAATTAACGGGATCACGGAGGTGAAATGGAAAAAGTTTGACGTACCGTTTTGCCTGAGAAACTTTGTCTTATTTTACGTCAAAGCGTATTCATTCAAGCATGCTTAAGTGCCCGTATGTAGAAATAAACTTTTTGTGGTGAATTAATTAGTTTATTTGATTAACCCACTAGCTTACATCTTTTCGTTCTTAATTAATTGATCAAATAATTTAATTATATATTTATATTTAATAATATGAATTAGATATGAGCTCTTGACGGATATTTAGAGCCGATAACTCAGATGAATAATTTTCAGTCGTTGGTTGACAATTGGAATCGTGGATTTATCGAGAGCTACTAGCGGCTGACTGAACTCTAAGGCGGATTTATAAAGATCTCCGAGCAAATCCTACCTCGTTAATGGCATCCGATTAGTACTGAAGACCTATACCTACGATACATCCCATTTTTATATTTTTTTTTATTTTGCATTTGGAATTTTAATTATGATGGTTTAAAAACTCCACGGATATAAAAATATACAAGCATAAAAGAGATTAGTTATATATTTAATATGAAATGGTAATCATTACTACACGGAGAAAAATTAATTATACTACCTACTATACAAAAATAGTAACTCCTACTATCTAAAATGGTAATAAAATTAATTAGTAACAAAATAATAGGTGGTATCATTGACAATTGTAATAGTTACTATTAATAATGGTAATGATTACTATAAAAAATAATAATTGTAATTATTATAAATTATAACTGTTACAATCGAAGATGGTAACTGTAACCATCTCAGATTGTAAAAATTCTGAAAGAAAAAATAATACAAATTTACTTAATTAAATCCTTTATTTAAATCCATATTTTAGCTAATGTACATTTTTTCCTTTGAAATATTAAAATATTTATAAGCTTGAATTTTACCTGTCATTCCATATCCAAAATATTATTTAAAATAAAATAATAAAAAAACTACTATTTTTCTCGGAACAAATTGTAACTCAAAAAGCTGCCCTCGATACCCATAAGCGTGTCGTCTAATTTTTCGAGTGTAAATCAACATTTTTTTTATTTTTCCAAACAACAAACACAATACTGACATCTTGAGCTTCGGAATTACCAGAGCTTTTAATTGGACCAGTTTTACCTCGGGTTTTATATTCCAACTTAGTTTTTTTTTATCCATCAATGATTTTTTTCTTGTAGAAAAACTCTTGAGAGTAAACAGAAATAGAAAAATCTAAAAAAAAACTTGGGATCGGCGTTGCGGTGAAACTCTGAGCTGAGAGTCGAATTAACGAGTATAACTAATGAAAATAATTATTTGTAGAGCGTTGCAGCTGAATTTCGTACCAACAAAGGGGCTTCACTATCATTTACCGGTGCTCTTTGACTACTTTCATCTGGCAGCGGTATCCATAACGATCCACGCCTGTCTCGTCGCGCTCCATCAGCCTTTCGTTAAGTCAGTATTCTCTTCCTTACTATTTTATTCATTTATAAATTCATACTCTCTATATAAATAAATAATATGTAATAAATAACATAAATAAAATGAATAAGTAATTTACCCATCTTGTTCGTGCGCTTTATATCCAGGAAGAGCATACTTCACTATGTACAAAGCTGGTGAGTTACAGAGTAAAGGATGAAAAATTTATGTAAATATTAAATCATGATAATAAAAAATTTTACAGCGCACCTAGGAGTGGAAAACCTTGGTTACAGTTTAAACAGCCGACGGCTAATGGCGCAGACAGCACTGCCTTCTTGAACATTGTAATTATTCTATTAATTTTATTATTAAGGGTTTTCCCTTTCGTACCTACGAGAGCTTTCACGGAAAATTATTATAGAGTTCTGAATAATTTATACTATAGACTGTAGACTCTAAGTATCGAGTTTTGGTTAAAATATAGAGGTCAAAACTATGCTTTACATTAATAACAAAATGTCTCAAAGTTTAACAGTCAAAATATTGAACCATGAATTATCCAGTTAAAGAGTTTTATAATGTAGACTATGTTTATATATGACCTGATATGGTTTGATATGTCTATATATAATTTTTCATATGTTTTGATATTTTTTTTCAAAAGTCTAATATAAAAAATCGGTTATATAAAACCGTATATGATCATTAGGGTGGCGCAAAAAAACCGACTATTTTTTTTTTTTGAGTCTCAAGTGAAGAAATGTTAGTTTTTGATGTTTTAAAACCTCTCTCCAAAAGACAGCCTAAAAAAATTTTTTTAAGAGGTCGCTCCAATTTCAAAAATCGTCAAAAATCGAATTTCTTTTTTTTTAATTTTTTTTTTCTCGTTACGTCATAATTTTATAGACCGAAAAAAAAAAGATTTTTTTGAAAGTTTCAGTTCAAAATGTGAATTTTAAAAAGTCGTTCATAATTTTTTTTTAATTTATTAGTGCCTATTTAATTGGATTAGCATTTTTTGACTCTGAAATTTAAAAAAAAATTATGAGCAACCTTTCAAAATTTAAATTTTTAATTGAAACTTTCAGGAACTTATTTTCGTTTGGTCTATAAAATTATGACATAACGAGAAAAAAAATTAAAAAAAAAAAATTTCGATTTTTGAAATTTAAAAAAATTTGGAGCGACCTCTTAAAAATTTTATTTGAGCTGTTCTTTGGAGAGGGCTCTTAAAACATTAAAAACTGACATTTTTTCACTCGAGACTAAGAAAAAAAAATAGTCGGTTTCTGTGTGCCACCGTTTGAACAGTCTAGGGTTAAAATTCCAAATACATGCAATCACGTCTTTTAATCCAAGATCGATATTGCAGTAAAGTAAAAGACCCGATAAATTGTTTTCTGCCCTCCGGCTGGAAAGTAGCAACTTTCTGGCCGCTGCGCTAAACAAAGTTGCCACATTCCGGCTACGTCGAGCAGAAAAATAGTATACACACCTTGGCCAGTAAAAAGTAAAGCCTTAGATCACATGTTTGTCAACCTCGGCTTCGCCTCGGCCAACAATTACATGTGATCTGAGACTTTTCTTATTTTACTGGCCTAGGTATGTAATATACTATTACAAAATTATGAAACTTTCAGCTGATCCATGTAAAAAATAATTAACTATCAGCTGATCCATGTAAAAAACTAATAATTGATGTTAATATGTTGATTTCTAATAATCAAATTAAATTTTTAACTTGTAATGGAGCTTATATCCTGTTGCAGTTACAAAACTAAGCCTGTAGTAGAAACAGGCTTTTCCTTTTGCAGCTACAAAACTAGGTCTGTAGCTGCTACAGGCATTTCCTGTTGCAGCTACAAAACTACGCCTGTAGCTGCTACAGGAGTTTCCTGTTGCAGCTACAATACTAGGCCTGTAGCTGCTACAGACCTAACTTGTTGCTGCTACAGTTTTTTTTTTTCCGTGTAAAGAGTTAAAAAGTAACCCGTGAACTTTCTCTTGAATCAATTTAATTTTTTTTTTTTTAATTAATATAGTTACAAATCAATTAGATCAATATTTTATTTTTCCATCTTGTCTGAGTAAAAATGAAATTTACATAAAAATTTCCGGCGTAAAAACTCAAACACTTATATTATTAAAATTTCGAGTAAATATAAAAATAAAATATCCCGTAATATTTAGATATAAAGATTGAAAGACAGCGTAAAAATAATAAAAAAATGAAAGGTAAACGGTGCGAGGAAATAAAAGTGATAAAAATATAAAAAGTAAAGAAAAATTTCTATCCATACACCGGTATTATTTCACTTTCCTTTTACGAAGAGTCTCGTCACGAACGGTTCAATACCTCCTGGGAAATGATTCAAATGTCAAGAGCGCATCCCAATGTGACATTCGGCTAACTACTGTCTCTCAACCGGCCGTCACCCGCCGGCGTTTAATAAATAACGAATAGAGCAAGTCGATTCCTCGACAGAGATATCTCTTATCTTGTCTCCGGGGACCAGATGATAGTCTTGCTTTGAATCAGTCATACTGACCCACTAAGTTCCCCAGTTGCCAAAATACATCGGGATATATTTATTTAACTTTATTTACTTTGAAGCCGCATTGTAAAGTTAAGACCCAGCAAAGAGCAAGAATAAGAGTTAAGAGTTGATAGTCTAGTGGAACGAGTTTACATTAGGTCTGACTACCGCTCGACTTTTCTACTTAAACTCAACAGTAAAGAGTCGTCAGATGCTAGTGGAGGAAAAGGAGGAGAAGAAGAAGGAAGGAGAAAAGAATGGATGTGTTGAGATAATTAATGAAGGAAAGAGTGATACTTAAACTTTCCAAGATACTCGAGTTGATGTGTAAGGTTAAAACCTTAAAGTCTATTAGCTTATTAGCTCACCCATTTGGTGTATGCTTTAAATAAAGAACTCGTTACTTTTTAGATCTCACTTCTTATGAATTCTTATTATTATTTTTAGGTGGATAGTTAACCTCATTTTTTAAGACTCTAACAGAATAAAATCGTTACTTTTTACTTTTATTAATTCATTAGTTTTTTAATATTGAAATTATTTTATAATTTCCTGGAAAAATTTTTTGATATGCTGATATATAATTTTTTAATTCAATCTAGTATTAAAAATTTCCGATAGGTGATGTATGATCGCTGAATCGTCTCGCTATTTGACAGTTAAGTTTGAAGAAATAGGTTTTGAAATAAAAATTAATTTTTGAACGTTTATCTCATATGAAAAATGAAAAATTATCTAATAATTATATCTAATAAAATTATTTCAGAGGATGATATTCAATCTTTAAAATGAAAAAAATTATCATCTCGAAAGGAGCAATTTAATTTAATAACAAATATAATTCCGTAAATTGCACGTTATTAATTTAATAAACTGTCACGCGACTTACCCCAAGGCTTCCGAGTTTATAAAGACGCTTTTAATCCGCGGGTATTTAGGATCGAAACGACCTAATTTATATATTATGCGTTTGCAGCAAAAGCCTCAAGCTTAATGCCGTCGCACATAAAAATATTTAATAAAAAAATAATTTATTACATTTTTAAACCAAAGATAGTAAAAATGTCACAGTAATTCTTGCTTAAACTCGGAAAAAATATTCAAGAATTCTTTATAAAAATACACCATATAAATTAAAAATTTTCATTATGTCAAAAGACATAACTCGGTAAATATAGTAAGTTATCAAAGAAAAAATTCCGAGAAAAGTAGGGCTCTAAAAATTCCGTCGAACAAGGAGATCCTTCCCCCTTCCGCTAGACTAGTGCTTTACACAAAAGATGTTCAAAAACGTCCTTTCTACTTTATTTTTTTTTGCTCCTCTCCTCAATCCTCTGTTTTGGCCGTTTTTTCCTCCAGCTCTACTTGTGTTTCTATTTTCCTTTTTTATCAGAAGCTCTTTTTTAACCATCAACCGACATTCTCGTCATTCCAACAGATAACCACTTTTTTCACAACTCCAGCAAATTCTCATTTAAACCTTTATCTTTTCTTTATTTTCGTTTTCTCTCAATGAAAATACTTCAGAGGCGGTTCCTTTTTCTCTTGAGGTATTTCAACATTCTTCTATCTTACTTTGCGGATTTTCGCTTTCAAAGAATTATCTTTACTATTTTTTTCCGTCCTCATTTCCCTTTTCAGCCTGACTATGACTTAGCTGCAGCGCTGAATAAATCCCAAGTTTGTTTTCTAATGACCCCAGATGAATGAAAATAATTAACTTGAGTATATGCTTGCTACATCAATCCCCAATTATCTTCTCCTTTGTTTTATTTTTATAATCTTTGCTATCATTTTTTTTGTTACAGAGGAAGTTTTTAATTCCAACAAAGCGCTCTGGTTTTCACCCAGCGGCAGTAAAATGGTTTTCGCACACTTTGATGATACACAAACGCCAATTATGAATATTACTTATTATGGCTACCCAGGAAGCTTGTCCTTTCAATATACATCAACTATTCCAATTCATTATCCCAAGGTATGTTTTTAATTTACAATTAAAGTTTAATTAAAAATAAAAAAAATTATTGTGTGTTTTTCTTTTATGATTATTTTATCTTAAGATATATATTTATTGTAAAATAAATCAAAATAATCCTTTCAAAATTCATGAATTCATATACTAGGGTATAATTTAAAATTTAATTCACTGATAAGAGTCCTAAGTAAACTTGAAAATATTTACTGAAAATTTTTTTATAATAAAATAAATGCCTTCCAGATAAGTTAATAGTTTAAAGTTTTGCGAAAAATAAATATTTTCTCAGATAATAATAGGAAATTGAAAAGAAACAATTTCAAAGTTTGGCCAGTTCAATGCAATTAAATATTAGACTCATTATACCTTTTAAAAATTTTTTCACAGGAATTATTAAAGTAAAATATAAAATAAGCTTGTAAATAAATCTCTTGGTGTTGCGAGAGCGTTGTTTTAATGAGCCAGACCAGAACATCTGTAAATTAATTTAATCACCCGTCAGAATTAAAAAAAAAAATAAAATAAAAGAACAAGACCCTGGAGATATTAATAAATAGCTTTATTAAATAATAATAACAACCAGAAACACCAGAAGAATTTGTCTAAAAAACACTGAATCCATAAAATAAAATGTATTATCCGTAACATAATATCGTAAAATTAAATAAAGGTTTATTGCCCTCGATAAATACACGCAATACCCCAATTAATAGTTAATCACGATCTCGGCAATCTGTTCGCCGTTTAATTTAGCAAAATAATAAAATTCTCCTCACATTAAAAGCAATAAACCGGGCCATAAATTACTCACTAATTCGCCGTTAAAAATAATTTTCCTTTTATATTATAAACACAGTAGACCGAAAAACCGAGTACCGCATGATGCGAAAATTCCCGTAACATGTAACACGTACAGGTCGATCTGGTGTAGCGCTTTAAAAAATATTTACGCTGTACTGCAGATGTTTTAAAATTCACCCGCGCGAAAGATAGATTAAACATGTCCATTTTGTTTTAAATATTTTTTTACCTAATTTACTTATGCACGCCTCGATTGTGTTAAATCCAATAAAACCTTATATTTTATTCCGTTCTTCCATTTTTTTAACACTCCGGATTAAATAGAAACAAAGTAACGCTGTAGAAAAATTTTTTTATTCAAAATTAAACCAAAAAAAAAATTTTTTTTTTTTATAATTTGTTTTCATAAAAAAAATACGAGACATGTCAGAAGCTCGAAAGCTCGACCCCCTCCTGTATATTTTTATTTGATATCGTAAAATGTCGACGGTGTTGTTCATCTGAGGTCGTAAATGGAAAATATACCCGAAACACATGTCGTCTTGGCTTTCCGAGGTGCTCAAGACTTAAATAAAAAAAAGCGCAGTTAATAAAAAAGCATTTATATCTATATAAATTTTCAGCGAGTGTGAAAAATCTGAAACCGGGTTGCTGGTCGGCGGACACTTTTTTATCTTTTTCGGTTTAACAGCACCAGTGCAGCTAATAAACTCGGGTCACACAGAGTGCGTCGGGTGACACTTTGTCGTAAAGCCTCGTGCTCAGACTTTAGAGGAGCTCATGATGTTTATAAGTGAGCCCCTATTTTTCATCCTTATATATTTTTAGTTTCCTTTTCTTGTATTTATTTTACCGTGTAAACACATTACCTCTCGACTTACGTGTTGTAACACTTTTCTACTCTTACATTCTCATTGGATTAAGCTAACCAGAGGTTCTTTTTGCTCGCTACCGGCAGAGGATCTTTTTTCTCATTAGTATAACTTGATAATCTACTGTATCGCGGTGAATTATGAATGAGCTGCTTTTTTTTTTACACCAGATGATGATAATAAACACTCCACCTTTTTTTCCTCTCGACGTAATTAATTTATTTATTTATTCATTAAAATATGACAACATTGTGCCGTACCTTTTTTTTTAATTACAGTTTTTTTTTGTTGAAAAAGTTTTTTCAGTTAGAATTTTTTTTTCTTTATTAAAAGAACAATTATTAAAATACTTTTGTTGATGGAATAAAAGTTTGTGATTACACTGATAGAAGAATTTTTTAATATTTAACAAACTTTATCATTAATATTTATTATTATTAATATTTTTTATAAGAAAATAATTTATTAAAAAAAATTATAACAAGTTAAATAAATAATAATCATATTTATTAAAAATTAAAAAAAAATTGCATGTAATTAATAAATTACTTCCAACTACTTGAATTTTATTAACAGTTAATAAACTTTTCTATGATTACTCAACTGATAAAAACGAAATTTAATTAACAAAATTATTTTTCAAAACTAAAAAATAAAAATTCCATACATTTGAATTCATACAAATTAAAGAATTAACCGGATTAAAACGAAATTATTTGAGCAACTTCGGGCAAAACAACGGAACAAAAAAAGTAATCAAAAAATAAATAATCCAACGCGCATTTAAAACCACAAAACGAGGAGGCATTTATTGTCGAGTATCAAAATGCATGATCGGCATAATGTCTGTGTCATTGAGGGAAGAGGGGTGATCACACATGCCCGCGATGACCAGTGTGCGCAGATAAGTTTCAGAGCTGTGTGTTCTGTAGCATTATAAACGGTAAGCTCGTGGGAATCGAGTGCAGCCGCGGGATTATATTACTGGCAGCTCGAACAGGGGCTTATTATTCTCTCCCGCGGGCTGTTACCAATCCTAACGATTCGATTAACGTTCCCACCCTTTCCTCATTCCCTGGACCCCATTATTGCATACACACCCGTCTGTCCTAGGCCAGACATCTACTCCTTTGTCACAACGTCCCGCCTGATGCTTACAGATAATATTCCGCTCATCGCCTCCATTACCAACCACACGCTACTATACTATCTTATCCACTTTGGATGCTCTTTCCATTTTCCAAAGCTAACATTAAAATTTTTACCAACAAAAACTGTTGAAAGAACCTTTAGGAGAACTAATTTGGATTATTTTTGTTACAGCCAGGCATCACGAACCCTCAAGTGAAATTGTTTTACGTGGATTTGGGTAAAGTTGTCGAAACAAATGGGGAAATTAAGCTGACTGAAATAGAGAGCCCACCACAGCTGGCCAACTCCATGAAGATACTGGCCGCGGTCGCCTTTCCAACAGAGACTCTCGTGTCAGCTACGTGGATGAACAGAATTCAAAACAGGGCGTATTTCCATCTCTACGACGTCGAGAACTTGCTATACAATACGGTGGGTATAAGCCCTAGCTCTAGCTCTAGCTTGCAAAGTTTCACTTCCAGGATCACAACTACAGAATTACAATTACAACCATTAATACGAGACAACAGAATGTAGTATAGTGGTGTGGTGAGAGTGTTTGGGGAATAGAAACACTAGCTGCTAGAAGCTCGGTTGATCAAATGTTTCATGTCTTGCCGTTTCTTGGGGTTTCAAACTATACCATCAAGGGGGAAATCCCTTCGGGTGGCTCAAAATTAGTTATTTTGATAAGTGTTTTTGTATGTGATAAAATAATATCATTTTACAGGCCCACTCTGTCGAGGAGAAGCACGGCTGGGTAAGCCAATTCGATCCGCCGCTTTTCAGCCACTCAGCGAGCGAATTCCTTCTGATAGAGTCCCGCAAGCAGAAGGACAATGAATTCTGGATGCACTTGCTGATGGTGACAAACGCGACCACCAGCCCTGCCGTTCGCGAGCTAACTTTTGGGAGCTTCACCGTCACCAGTATCGTCGGCTGGGATCAGGATAACTCTCTGGTGTAAGTTTTTAAATTGCAAATTGATTTATCAACAGCTATAGGAGATATGACGAAGTAATTAAGTTCAAGTGCATTAAATTAATTAGTCGAAAATGTTGACAAACAGCACTGAATCCCCCTTACTCATGGCTAAATCAGCTGATTAAGAAACTCTGGCGTTAATAAATTCACCCTCCGCGACTTCTTGGCCTGTCGTCAGAAGTTGGAAACAATTAACGAAACGCTGGCAAGGATTTCCTACACCGATAGGATCATCAATTATATCCAACTGACGACTGCTACTATCTACATACATACTACTATCACACTCGTACACTTTCCTCGTAGTTACTTGGCTCAAGTTATCAAATTCAAAGTTAGACATCCGATCTCTTCACTATACTCACTTTTTTTGGTTAAATATTTTCACATAAAACATTCTATAAATTTGTTATGCTTTTATTTTACTATTTGTTTGCATCACAAATTATTTTATTATTTAAATAATATAAATAATAATTTATGATTATATAAAGTCTTTTTAAAAAAAAATTTTATGAAGAAATTGTTATTATCAAAAATAACGATCGATTTATGGGAAAACAAAATTAATTGTCACATTCTTGGTAGAAACATTGAACGTAGTACCCTCTAGAGGTCGGTTAAGGCTTTCACACCTTCAGAACACGCGATGGAATTCAATTAACGCGAAAGCTGCACAGTTAGCATCCAGTTCTGGTAGACTATTAAAACGTCGTTGAGAAACGGAAATAGTCGTCGTAACAGAATAGTTTTCTTTTATATCTTTTACTTTTATTTTAATACTTTTGTCTGTTTCTAAAAGTTTTGGAATTCAGAAAAACTTCGGAGAATGCAGGAACTATTTTACTGCATGACACAAATAAATATTTTTAAATTAAATTCTGATTTACAAACTGGAAAAACAATTTAATTATTTTATTTACAAGTTTACCTCAGTAATTATTTTATTGAGTTTTTCCTAGTTTTAACTTTTCTTCTCAAGACGCTGATAATTAAAATTGATAATTAAAAGTTGAGCTATCGGTATGAATTTCAGTATTAATTAACATGGAAAAATGAATAATTGGGTTATATCTTGTTGTAAGTAATTTTGGAGAAGTTTAATTGGAACTTGGTTTAATCTAATGTAATGATAATGATAACTGCTCTTATTGCTGTTGTTGTTTTCTCACGGAGTATCATTGTTATCGATAATAGCATTAGAAGCATCGCGATTGTCATTGTTATTATAATAATGAGCGTCTTTGTGTCAGAGCAATTAGCGAATCTCGCGGAAACTGTCGTAACAATTCTGGTGAGCGTTTGTTGAATTTTATTCACCAGCATCAGAGATCCGTGGAAATTTCTCCCTCTGTGATGCTGATGGTGATACTTATTATTGTTTTCTCAATGGCTCTTTGTGAATGCAAAGGATAAACCACATTTGCAAACTCACTACAGTGGTATTTTGTATCAAACAACTTGGAAAAAACATTCTTATCTCTTGCTTCCTCGCCCAGGCACTCTCATTATTTCGTTACATAATTAACCTAACAAGCAGCCAACCAACAAACAACACTCCTGCTTACTCGGGACTCCTTTCAGAGCTTTTAACAATTAGTAATGTTCTTTTCAAGACTTGGAATCGCTATTTACAGCGGCTTTCGTCGAGTGTTACTCGTTAAAAGTTCAATGAAAAAATTAATAAATAAAATATTTGCCACTCTTGATAGCAACTAGCTTTATTTTTAATAAAATTTCTAATTATTTTGTGGACAATAGAATTGAAACTGTTCAATATCAAGTTCGATAAAAAATAATCCACCCTTAGGTAAATATTGTCTCATCAACTCTCGAAAGCAAGAAATAAAAATCGAAAGGAAGTAATACCAATAGTTTATCTTTCTCATATACATTTATCTTTTTCCGATATCTGGCAATCAGTCTTCATTCCGTTGACAAAGAAATTTTTTTTAGATTTTTATGATTGATCTCCCCTTCAGATCCCGTTATTAAAGCCCGATTTTATTTTTAAAAATTTTAAAAACATGTAAAAGCTCTCAGTTCCCATTTTCGGTAAATGACTCGGTGGTTCTTAGCGAACTATAAGAAACGGTAAACAGAATAAATGATTATCAGCCGAAATCCATTAGCGGTTGAATTGAATCGAGTTCCCTTTGAGCGACTCACAATAAGGCGGCATTAAATATAAATGTTAATAAATAAAGAGTGATGGTGTGGTTTAGCGATTAATGAACAGCACCGATTAGTTTTGATAAACCCATTGATCGCGGTCGGCTTTAGAAAACCCGACGACCCTCGACGCCAAAGTGTTGAAGTATCGCGGGTTATCTCGCGTTAAAATGCTTTCAACAACGACCAAGACACCCAAAAGCTTGAGAACGGGACCGGTGCGACTATAGTTCTTGGTAAGATTGATGCGCGAGACCGAATTAAAGGGCCGTGGGTTAAAATTAATCCCCAGCATAAGTGATCCGGGGATCTCATCAATCTTGTCGCGTTACAAACTTTATACTCGGCTTTACTTCCTCTTCCTCCTCCTCCTCCTCTTCTTCTCGGTACTTCTCTACGCTGCTCTCCTCTACATTTTCAACTCGATTCATCCAGGATCTATTGTTCTTCGTCAGGTATTAAATTACTACCACCAACTTGAAATTATCTCGAATAAACTTATACTTTTTTCAGACTTATTCACGTATTAAACTTTTGATAGACTCGAGAGTTGTCTTGTTTTTTAATTTCACAAACAGTCTGTTCATTTTTTGCATCAATTATAAATTTTTATAATGATAATAATAACAAATAATAAAATTGACTTTCAATTTAAATAAATTCATTTATTTAAAAATGGATTGGAATTTTTTTCATCTATTAAATTTATGAAATTATAAAAAATGTCTAAATAAATATTTATTAAATGATTTGATGTTAAAAAATAATCATAAAAATTGTATTTTTATCAAATTATTCTTAACTATTCTTTAAAATTTAATTCTACAACTATTTAATTTAGCAGTAAAAGAAAGAAATGGGATTTTTTACAAAAATAATCATTAGATAAATAAAATTCTCTAAAATAAATAAACTGTAGAGTAAAATGATCGTAGCCGGGGGTTATATTGTACAAACTGTACGACATCACGACAACAATATTTCCAGGAGTCCCGAAGGACTAAACTATACATTGGAAACTTACAAAAAGAAAACTACTACACAGTCTACTCAGTCTGTACTATACTACGGAGTTTAATGCCAGACTACCAAATTCGGTAGCTTTACTTATATTGTGCTGTTAACTTAATTGTATTGGACATTTTTAGTGCGTCCATATAATATTAGACGGCAAACAAAAAATTCCATTCAATTTATTAAACAATATAAAAATTGGAGACAAGCTCGATGATTGCGGATCGCCAAGTAAAATAAAACCATGATATTTAATACTTTTTTGGATTCCACCGAGTGATTGAGTCGTTAGTTTGCATTATGACTGTCGGATAAGCAGCATAAATTGTCACGCATTTAAATCCACGCTCGCAATAAACGTACTCGCGAATTACGAAGCCGCACGAGAGGTATAGTTATAGTTATAGCGTGCGGTTGCCAGTCAAGAGGGTTGGGGTGCGGTAGCAGAGACAGTCAGGCTATTTTCAGGACTATATCTATATGCTGTATGGTATATTTGCCAGCGGCGTGTACACAAACGACAGGTACATGTGTATGTACTTTATAGTCGATTTTACATAATGGCTCGCTCTCCCTACCAGGATTTTAACCTGCACCTCACGGTCTCGTCATTCCGGGCATTTAATCAGCATCTGGATCTCATTTTTTTATTTTTGCTATTTTATTTTTAATAATTTTTAAATAAAAATGATTTTTTAGTTTAAGAAATTTAAAAAGATGTTCAAATTTTTTCTCTTGAATAAAATTAATTTTTTTTGTTTTAGTGTATAAGTACATTAACTGTCATATTAATAAATTAAAAAATCTCTTCAAAAAAATGATTTAAGGGGTTACATGGGTTTCACGGTTTCAAAAAATCGATTTTTTTTGTCTTATTAAATTCTACAACATCTCTAGAATATTGTCCTAAAGTTTCAAATCGATCCGAATAATAGTTTCGAAGATATAGTTTTAAAAAGTTACGCGCTCAAGACGCTGTATTGTCACTCAAAACTTTAAACGCCTTTTTCTCAAAACTATATTTTCAAAGACGGTACCCAAGATTTCTCGAGAACAACTCAACCGATCTTAATGAAATTTTAGACAGGTCTTCGAGATATAATTTACAAGGTCTTGAACAACGGATTTTTTTTTTCTTTCAATTACAACTATTTAAAAAAAAATGCCGCGAAATTTTAGCCACATTTTTAATTTTTTTATAAAAACCTCTGCCAAAAATCCAATTTTCATTTTTTTTTCCTTCGTTCAAGACCTAGTTTGAAGTCTTAACTAAAGCACATATTTTTTTTTTTTCACTTCTGATGATCCTGCTAGGAGTTCTGCTGATCACGCAGACGCATCTTTTTTCCGAGGGCTCGCCGGAAATGACGTCACATTAGCAGAGTTTTTAATAGTTTTTTTTTTAATTTCAGTAATCCCTTATTAAACATGTATCTTTGAGACAGTAAAAAGTTTGAATAAAATATTTCATTTTTTCTATTAAAAAAAAATTGTTAAAAATAGGCCATTTTTTCCCGGAGGAAACCCATGTAACCCCTTAAGGGGACCCGGTGGTCTAGCAGCCTAAAATTTAAGCTATTTTAAAAAACTTTATTTCTATATGAAGATGATGATGACTAATGCTTTCACATTTTTTTTACACTTATTATTACTTATCAACTACACAAAAATGAAAATTAAGACAAAAAAAAATTTTTTTTTAAATTAGAAAAATGGTGCTGAAGTTCCCCTCTCCAAAAAAAATGAACCTGACTGGTGGGGGGTGATTGATCCCTCCCTCTGATCTAAAATAAAAAAATATGACGGATTTTTAATTAGTATAAGTATAGTTAACGCAGGAACTAGAATGAAAAAAAAAATATATTTGACAAAATAGCACGTAGTTAAAAGTACGAATCTGGAACTCATTTTCATTTTTGTGTAGTTGATAAGTAATAGAATAAGTGTAAAAAAAATTTGAAAGTATTAGTCATTACTGTCATTACCTTCATTTAGAAATAAAATTTTCTACCGGGTCCCCTTAAAAATCTTTTTTTTTACCCTCTAAATTCGTATAACTCCTTAAAATCCCGAGATAAATTTTTTTAATAAGTATAAATGTCATTGAAATGAATATTAGAGAGATAAAAAAGTTTTAATAATAATTTTTAATCATGTTACAGATATTACATGGCGACAGTGCCAAATGACACATCCCAGCGACACTTCTACCGACTATCGACATTAGAACAAGAGTTCAAGCCGGAGTGTCTAAGTTGTGACGTTAAAAGCCAAATAGACGGGAGCCCATGTCTTTACAACGACGTTAAGCTTTCACCGGACAAAACTCGGTACATCCTGACATGTGCTGGCCCTAGTGTTCCTGACATTTCGATTTACAACAGCGTAAGTTTTCGTATTTAATACAACTCTCTGTATTTACCCTTGCGACAACACACGACCGGAGGGAGAACAGAGAAATAAAAGTACAAAGAGAGAAATAAAAAAATTCGGTCGTGGATTCTCCCGCGTGACTTGACTGGAATTGAAACGTCGTCGAGCTTTTCAATGCTTTCATGTCACATTCACACTTAGATCGCTGAAAAAATTGTCATTATTAACAATGCCAAGTCTACGTGCTCTCTATATTGTTTTTTTTTCTTAGATTTTTATTTTATTCCTATCCTCCGTGAAATTTCAGACAAACTCCGAAATTTTTACTCTTGTCTCGCCAGGTAACTCTTTGAATTTTACAGTGTAAATACGTGTGTTCGGAATTATTTCGAACGGTAAGTCACGTATTTTGAATGCTCTGACAGAGAGAAATCGATAAGAAATAAATTTAGGTACTATTTACGGAAATAATTATTAATCTGACTCAGTTGTATTGAGAAAAAAAATTACAGCTCTTATATTTGATGCAAAGTGTAAATTTGATCGATCAATTCAAGTCAAATTAACAAATAAAATTACATTTGTGGAAAAAATTATTTAATTTCCGTAGAAAAAAAAAAAAAAAAAAGTAAACAATAAATTTTTCAACGGATGAAGTCAAGAGTTTTCAACTGAAGTAAATAAAAAAAAAATCTTCTTGCATCCTCAATTACAAGTGCCTCTGCAACGTGAAATTTTATTAAATCCCTTCAACGGTTCTTTCTACACTATGTTGTTTATAATTTTCCAGAAAAATGTACACTAGCAGCTCTCGAGAGTCCTGCACTCAGGTCCAGTGAGCGTAACTCACTTGCTCATTAATGATTCCTTTTTGATGTACACTTGACGACACCTAGCGAGTCTTTCGATCCCGGCTCGTTATATTCTGCGTTCGCGTAATGCAATATAGGGAACAAAAGTAGTCGCGGAAACAAAACGAAATAAAAGGCTCTGAGTAAAAAGAGGTGTTGAAAAGAGTGTCATTGAGTGTGAGGTGTGAGATGAAAATATCTCAAAGATAATCGCATTATCGAGCACAAAAGGAACTGTGACAGAACGAGAAAGACTTTACTTGCCACGCTAGAGAGCGCACTGTAATAAAAATAAAATTTTAAAAACTCACTCCATTTTTTATGTTACACTCCCTCCAACAGAGCTTTCTCCAGCCTCGTTCCACTTCGCCTCTTCTCGGTGCTGGAAAAATTATACTTTTTTATTACAAATGTAGAAGTAATAAAGTCCCAGTGTTTACGGGAGACTTTATCGAGACTTTTTAATAATTCACTTTATTTTTTTATATTTAATTCAACTTTTTCGATAAAAAACTTTTCCAAAAATTAGACTAACAGCAAAAAATATTTTTATGATTATTTCATAAGTGCGGACGTAAAAAAAAAGTAACTTCAAACAATTTTTTTCGAAAGCAAAATAAGTTTGATGGAAACACTTGAATTTAATGGAACATTTTTTTGTACATTCCAAATAAATCTTTCTACCTTTTACCTCTACCTCGCGGTTGTTCACTTGATACCGTACACAATGCGCTCTCTATTTAGCGCCAACATTACTCGGTACAATTTCACTCAAGTAATTCAAGCGCTGGACACCCCTTCCGCGTCGCTATTAATTACCAGCGAGAAATAGATGAACTATTAAATTATTTTATGAATAATGCGACCCTACAAAAGACAATATTGACCGACTTTATTTAATTTTCGTGAAAATTAATTTTATTCTGTCATTATTATCTACAGTAACCTTCACCTTATAATCATCGCTGTGAAGAATTTCATTTTATTTATCTAAACTATTTATTTTTCAGGTAAACTTGACGAGACTAATGACGTGGGAAGACAACAAACTGTTGGGAAATTCAGTAGCTGAGAAATCTCTACCACTTGTTAAGCGTTTGACGGTGCCAACTCAAGACGGATTCAAAGCACAAGTCCGACTGCTTATTCCCCCGGGCGCTGATTTGACCGGGGCTACCAAGTATCCGTTGCTTATCTTTGTGTAAGTAACCTTCACTGCTAGTTCTCCAACAGTAGCACAGCCAGAATCCAGCTAGGTTATTCGATCAGACGTCGGATGTTACTATAAATCACGTCTACCCTCGAGATTTCACTTTTCTACTGACTTTATTTACCTCCTTGATTTCTACTCATTTTAAAACTCAACAATTTTAACGAAACATACACGGAAAAAAAGTAAATTGTAATATTCACTCGGATTCCAATTAATTTTTATAGTTTCAAACAGTAAAGCGGACATCGGGGTGGCAAAAATATAAATATTACAGAACTTAATGTAGAAAGTATAAAAGCCACAATTTATAATTTAATATCCAAAATAAGTCATTAGTAGCTGTCACTATAGTGAATAACGACTCTTTCATCTTAAAAAATTACCGTTTCAAACAGTAAAAATTGCCATTTCAATATATAGTCCATATTATGAGAAGGGGAACTCAGATGAAAGAGAAGGGGGTCTCACTCAGGGAGAATTTAAAATTTGAAACAGTAAAAATTATACTTTTAAAATATACATTTTACCAGTGCAAGCAAGTCAATAATTACAGTTTGATTTTTAGCGTTGCATTTAAAATTTACCATTTTACTTTGTAAATATTGACGTTGCTTGTATTAAAAATTTACTAACTTTATTTTATACTTTTTACATATCATAAGATCATTTTTTAGGTACACGGAGAGAAAAATATGGAAATCATTCCTATAATTTTAATGAAATATGTTCCTATACCATTTTAGGAGAGATTACTTAAATTATGGGAATTATACCCATAATTTTTGGGGAACGTTACTATAATTATGGGAATGGTTTCTATAATTATAGGAATGATACCTATAATTATAACTGTAATATCGGCATGATTATCCCATAATATATAGAAATAGTTTCCATAATATTATAGGAACCATTCCTATAATATTATGGGAACCATTCCCATAATATTATAGGAATGATGCCAATAATATTGGAGTAATTTTTTTTCACACAACTGTGGTATTTAATTAATTACTTTTCACTAGATTTATTTTTTTTTTGATTAAGTGATTCTTTTTTTATAATATATAAATTTGATAAAAAAAGTTATCAGTAATAATATTTATTATTATTATCATTATGAAATTAATCATGTTGCAGCAGTTGATATTTTTTTGATATACATGCTTGTAAATTAAAATAAAATTAATTAAAAAAAAAAAAATTAATTAAAAATTAATTAAAATCAATTACAAAAAAAAATTTTATTAGCAAAAAAATACATTATAATTACTTTATATTTTTGAAGTGATTGCTTCATTATTAAGAAAATAAACTTTTTTCTATTATCATGTGCGTCATTCCCATAATATTATAGGAACCATTCCCATAATATATTGAAGCTATTCCATTATTGTATAGGACCGTTTCCAATAAATTATGTGTATGGTTCTCATAATGAGTATAGGATTAATGCCTATAATGATAATTTTATTATAGAATCCATTCCCATAATTATTGGAAAGATTCCTATGAATTTCTCTCCGTGTACGAAATGATAAATATCAAAGTCTGAATTCTTAATTATTATACTTAAACATTTTAGACATTTACATAGCGAATATTACTGCTTAAAAAAGTATTTTCTTCCATGTAAAGAATAAATTGTAACGTTTAAATGGTAAATATTATAAAGTGAATAGTAAAATCACGATTTTACTGTATGAAATGGTATTTTTTAGCAGTTGATTATTACTTATTATAAATCGACTGTTCTTTATTACAGTTTATTTTTTTCCGTATAATAAGAGCAAAGAATAGTAAATCTCGAGGTAAATTTGATCTCATTTTTCTGTAAGCGGTTCAGCATTATCATTTTATTATACATGTTATACACAAGAAGACAATATAATATAATTCTCGTGGAGACAGCACTTGAGTACAACCACAGAGTTTGTAGTTACAGCACAGCAGCTTTATTTATTATCATCATTATTGTGTTTTTATACGCTCGATACCGAGTGAAAGTACTTAGAAAGCAGAGGTAGAGGCATACCAGTGTCTATCGGCTAAAAGCAACCACCCCTCGGTCTCACCCTCGCCCTGAGGCCGCGAGAATCCATTACAGGGTGACGATCAATCAGCTTTTAAAGCGCAACATTAGAGCTTGTATTGGTTATCGGTGAGCTATAAACAACTTTAAGGTATAAATACTTAGATCGCCCGGTTGATAGCGTCGCCGCGCTGTTCTGAGGTTGTGCTACATAACAAGACCGTCGTTATTATTACGAGTACCGAGTGCCGTTAAATTATTATCGTTTGTTCCTGCCCGGTGACTTATTTGTTGATCGCAGTTATTGCTATCGATAACTATTTTCTTTAACTCTCCAAGCTCGTAATTTTTTTAATGACCTATTTTTATATTGGGCTATTTTTTTTTTAATGGAAAAGATTAAAAATTTAGATGAGTCTGAATATTTTAAAAGAGGAGTTAATAAATGATAGTTGTGTGGCTCGTTATCGACAGAAGCAATTTGTTCAAATTTTTATATGCTCAGGACACGAAACTAGTAAAATCCTTTATTTTCCTTTTTGTTCTTGCTTAAAGTTCATGAATAATCTCTCACACGATCGCGTAAAAAGGATGAGGATTCGCCAACTAGAGTTCTTCATCCACCGGGAATAAAAGTGAGAGTTTGAGCCGGAGTAAAAGTATCAAAAAAATAACTTTTGTAAAAGTTCTGACTCTTTGTCGCATCTAGAAAATGTTTTATTTTTGTTAATAAAAAAAGAAGTTAATTTACGACAGGTAAATCTTGATTTTAATTAAAAATTTATCTGACTAAATAATTTAAATTAAAATGTTCGATCACTTACAGAAAATAATTAAGACTCGGTGAATAAAACTTTTTAGCGTCCAATTTGGATTATAGAAGTAATAGTCTTCTTGAAAGAAATCAAGAAATTGTTAACTTTTAAGCATTTAGTTTTTTTAATTGTTTACTGAAGATAATTTGTCGCGAGGATGTCAATGTAGATGTAATCGTAAAAGTTTAAAATCAAATGCTAAAAGTAGAAGACGCCTTTATTAATTTCGACAAAAAGAGAAGAAAAAGAAAGAGAAAGTATCAAGTCGTTATGCATTTTTCCGGAGCTTTGGATCAACTTTTCACGAAGCAACTTTCTCTGGAAGAACTTTCGTCTTTCCTCCTCTTACACTGGCGAGAACATCAAAAGTTTATGTTTTTTTTTTTTTTTTTTTTTTTTTTTTCTAGTTTATGTAGTAGTTTATTTTCTTTTTTTGTACGAGCCTGTAAGTTGGGTCCAACGTGTCGCGTACAAAGTAGATGTTATTAGAATTTACGAAGCCAGTTACACACCCGTGAATTTCCAAGCTAGCGTGCAGACGAGACAAAAATTTAAACGAACTTACAAGCTCATGCATAGCTACATCTTACAAGAAAATGAGAACATTTTTATTAAATTACTTTTTTCTATAATGAAAATCTCTAAATTGCTACTCTGATAGGATTTTTTGTAATATTTAATAAGCTTTATTAAATTTTTATTAATAATTTTTTAATATTGTAAGATAATTTGATAGATAAAAATAATTTTTTATAATTAATAAATTTTTTAAAATAAATGAATTTATGAAAATTAAAATATTTTATTTTACAGATACGGAGGACCAAACACCGTTCAAATTTCCGAAAGATTCAACCTAGACTGGGGAACATATTTATCAACAAATAAAAACATAATATATGGAGCAATAGACGGCCGCGGGTCTGGATTAAAAAGCACCCGGAATTCATTCTCGGTGTACAGAAATTTAGGGACCGTTGAAGTTTACGACCAGATAAATGTCACGAGGTAAGCACAGCTCCCTAACAGAGTATCAGTGCATCACGCGTAATATAAAATGTGTATCGAGTTGAGGAAATAAATATCTCGTGCACGTACTAACCAAAAAGACATTAAACTTGGGAACAACAAATACAGAGCATTGACGGGCGAGCGAAAGAGAAAACAGGAAAATAAGGTAATCCCCGTGATCCGCAACTGCTACTAAACTTCCATCGTCTAATCCAAAAGCTCTCGGGTCCGTTAAATTAACTTCTTTTGGATCTAATACGCCTCTAAGAAAACCTTTTGTTCAACTTTTTTTTCTCGCTCTTAGGAATTAATCGCTCTGGTCTAGACTCTATAAATTTCTTAATTCTAAAACTTCTTAATTTTTCTTTCTCGTTTATTTTATAATTATCAATTGCAATTTATCGACTGTCAAAATTTCAATTATTTATTTCGTTAATAATTATTCTACTATTTTTGTAAGTACTGATAAATAAATGATTTTAATTAATAATTAATAATTGAACATAATGCATCAGCAAGACCCGAATTTTGATGAATAATTACGACGATTAATGAAATATTAATAGTGTATGTCAGGGTGTAATGCCGTTATGTTGAGATGTATAGAACGGAACATAAATCTCAAGACATAGGTCTTGTATTCTGAGAACCCGCAGGCGGTAGTAATTCATCGGCACGTTGTTATATAGGTTGACGCAGAGTTAATCGTTAGACGCAGGATAGGAGCCGAGGGGCTACGCCGGGGTAGTTGTGGTTAAACGAATTATGGCGAGCTGCTATACGTGGTCTCGTATAACTCGAAGCCCGCGGGTCGCGGATAAAGGGGCAACTCCCGAGTTCACCCAAATTTCATCTTGGTCTATTGCACTTCAGCTTAATAAATCGAATTCAATATAATTGTACATTGTACAGTCTTTCTCACTCTCACTCTCACTAGACTTGGGTGTCACGCTTTGCAAATTAATCTTTTTTCACCTCAAGTCTGAGTTAGAGAAATTTGTTTGTCCTCAGACTCGGTTTCTCAGTATTGATGGGCTTTCATTAATCTTTGGGACCATCATTGAAAGCTCATTTGTTCTAAAGTTACTTTCAATATTTAATTTGTTCGAGAGAACATTAGACATTTCGTCGTTTAAGTTGAGAACTTTATTAATTAAAATTATATGTTTAAGATTTCTTAACATTTAAGAAGATTCCTTTGTATTTAAGAAATCATTTCTTAATATTTAAAAAATATTTCTTAAATACAAAGAAATATTTTTTAAATACTAAGAAATGATGTTTAAGAAATGATTTCTTAAATACAAAGAAATCTTCTTAAATGTTAAGAAATCCTTCTATCAGTGATGTAGGTCGAGCTAAAGAAAAATTTTAACAGATAATAAAACAGTTAGTAATTATACTATCATATATGTATAGTTTCTGCTTGTTTATAGTTATTTCAATCCTGTTTATGAAAAATGATATATATATGGCTGCCGAAATCGCAAAGAAAGTCACCGAACTGACAATCGAAAAAAATTAACTGTATCGAAATGGAATTATTTTGACACGCAATTTTCACAAGGTTTTTGACAAACTTCCTCAGGAATAAAACAAAAAAAAATTAAATCATAAAAGTGATTTTTGACAAAGTTGTGGTGTTATCAAGCCCATCGCTCCCGTGAATACCACGCTCTTATTCATTTAATTCATCAAAAAAACGAGTTTTTTTTTGAGAAATCTTATTTAATTGATAAGAAAATTTTTTTAACGTGTTCTTTAGTTACTATTACTTGTATTTATTTCAATATGCTTTTTATCCATAAATGTTTTCGTTTAAATTATGAAAATCACGTTTTAATTGAAATCACGATTTTTAGGCGAGAGTAGAGCATACCTGCGCGCTTAGCGCTTAAATTAAGGCATGCAATATAAATACTTATAAATGAATGAATAAAGCAAAAAATCTAATAAACAGAAGCTTCAAAAAGGTTAAAAGGTAAACTTTTAAAAACGTAGCAAGTTTTAAGTGCAAGATGTAATGAAATTTTTGCATAAAAGAGGGCAGCTATGTTTAAAATTTAAAAACGTAATAAGGCTGCTCCTTGAACTAGATAGATTTGAAAATTAAAAATGTTTATGGGTTCCTTTTGCCCTGGAGATGGGAGAATCGTTAAATTATTCATTAAAAGTTGGAATAAACAATAGAAAGAGCCTGATATTTGCTCGTAACCGATTCTTTATAGCCCCGACGAGGAGTTTTAATAAAAAGTAAAAAAGAAGAAGAAAAAGGAGCTAACCGGTATCTTCATTTCATAGAAGTAAGCTTTAATACTAAATGTTACGAGTTTACTTTACTCAAGTACCTATAAAACTCGTATCCAGATACTCCAAACTACAGACTCCCGGCCAGTACTCAACTCAAGTACCAACCCTTATCGCGACTCAACATCCGAATTCTTAGACTCCCACTATAATACCATACAAATATTATTTAGCAACAAAAGTTCGCCTGTAATTATTATCAACAATCCGCACAATTGTAAAATATTGTGGAAGCGTTTGGCCAATTTCCAATTTCAAGATACTTTTTACATGTACGCCAGCAAAACATTCGACATCCGGTCCCCAGGCAACCCTCCTTGTTCCTGTTTCTCTTCTATTTCTATTTCTATTTTTGGTTGTGCTTCCATGTCTAGATTTACTTGCTTATTCACTTCTGCCTGAGAGTTACTGACCCTTGCTAATTTCGCCTCTGAGGCAGAAACTACCAAAGAATTCAAAAAGTTCAATTCAAAAGTAGATCTGGGTTGAAAAAATATTTCACGTGCCAGATCCTCAGCATTTTAAACTTCACAATAGAATTATTTTTTACAGTTTTGATTTTTCCACTGATAAAATAATTTTTTAATAATTTTTAACATCAAGTTATTTATTAAATATATTTTTTTTATTAAATAAAATTTAATTTTCTTATTAAAAAATGCTTATCAAAAATAATTATTAAATTTTTTATTAGTGTTTTAGAGATTCACTCCCTTTAATAATTTTAATCAAGAAAAAAAAGAAAGGAAGAAGCTTTATTTTTTCATTAATTTTTCCATTCCGCGGGTTAATATTTAAGAAAGGGGTTTTTTTTGATGGGTCAATATACCAAAATGAATAATTCATGGCAGATATGTATAATAGAAGAAAGAAGAATTTTTCGGAGGTCGATATGAAAAAATTTTACGAACTAATAAAAACAAAATGTACATCTATATACTTTTTATTATATTCTGATGGAAATATATATATATTATTTATATATGAAATTTCTGTTCCAGACACTTGCAAGAAAATTTTCCATTCATCGATAAAAGTAAAACCGGAATATGGGGCTGGAGCTACGGCGGTTATGCAGCTGGAATGAGTTTAGCGATGGATCATGATAGCGTATTCAAATGCGGTATTTCCGTAGCGCCAGTGACCGATTGGACTTTGTATGGTAAGATTTTCTCGGGTTTCCAAGTTTATATTGGAACTTCCTCAAAGTTTACTACCTCGCCGTTACCGAGATCCATGTAATATGTATCACCAAATATTTATCCAACTACTTCGATATCTGGATTATAAACTTATAATCCTTAGCAGTGCTAATTAAACTTTTAATTTTAATCTCCAAATTTAAATGCTTCAATGACTTTATCATCAAACTTCTGAGGAAGTTTTAATTTAAAATTATCTGTCGAATATTTATTTATCCTTGTTTGTGTTTACAGATTCAATATACACGGAGCGTTTTATGGGTTTGCCGATACCGTCGGACAATTTTGATGGGTACGAACAAGCACAGCTGTTAAATAAAGCTGACAAAATAAAATCCAATAGTTATTATCTTATTCATGGTACCCTAGATGACAATGTACACTATCAGCAATCTTTATTGCTGGCCAAGGTTTTAGAGCAGAAGGACATACTATTTAGACAGCAGGTAAATAGATTCAGCAAATGTCGTTAAATTTAATTACTCTGTACAACAGATTTTCATTTTCAATATAATAAATGAAGATATTACTATAAAACTAGCAACTTTACAGTCACTATGTGACTGTCGTGACCTGTGAACTATAAATAATTAAAACTTTGCTTTATTTAATAATGACTTTGGTTAAATTGCACTGTACTTTTTTGAACTATTGACGTTTTTAAAGATATAAGCTTATCCCGATGTTACACTCAAGAGCTTTCATTTTAGAACCCACATGCATTTTTATATATACATATATCTATATCTATCTTCTATCTATACTAATAAATGGAGAGCCGGTTTTTTTGTCCGATTATACTGCGAAAACTACTAAACCGATCGGAATAATATACTTATACTATAAGATGCATCGTGTTTCGGAGAAGGTTTTAGTATATGATATGTTGGTGATTATTTATCCGAAGCCTATATTTTTTTGACTTAGAAATAATGAATTTTTATTGTAACTAAATTTATTCTATTCATTTGTCATTTGTTTAAAATAAATTTTTTAATTCCATTGGTTATGTTTATATACACAGAAAAAAAAATTTACTTGAATCAAGTAAATAATTTTGAAGTTAATTTTCTTGATTTGAGTAGAAAAATTCTTAAACTAAGAAATCTTCCTTGATTTAAGTAAATTTTACTTGATTCAAGACAATTAAACTTTTTTTAAATTATTTTCTTGATTCAAAAATTTTTCATTTGATTCAAGTTAATTTTTTTTTCTATGTACTACTCAAATTTCTTTGATTTCTCCACTTATGAAGCCTGCAATTTCTTTAACTAAAACTTTCGATGCTCATTACAAATTTTTTTTTTTCAAATCAATTACTTATTATTTATTTTTGTAAGAAAGACATGGCAATGTTATAATGATTGCACATTGAAAGTTAGAATGAATATTTGAAGTTAGAAAGAATCTGTGCAAGTAAAAACAATACTTTCTAATTAAATTTCAAGTCTAGATCTAAAAATGTAATTCTATAGAGCGTCCAGCGGAGTGAGCGAGTAATAGCTAGTACACAGAAAAAAAAATTAACTTGATTCAAGAGGAAAATTCTTGAACCAAGAATATAATTTTGAAGAGGGTAATTATCTTAAATCAAGACGAAAAATTCTTGAATTAACTAAAATTTCCTTAAATCAAGAAAAATTTTTTAAATCAAGAATTTTTCTACTCAACCAAGAATATTGAGCTCTTCCAAAATATATACCTGATTCAAGAACATTTTTTTTTGTGTATAATATATATAAATATATGAAAAATTGATATGGGTACTTAAATGAAAGGTCTTGATGAGTGTAACATCGGGATAAGTTTATATCTTTAAAAATTTCAATAGTTCACAAGATACAAAGTCATTTCTTAATTATGTATTTAAAGATAGAGTAGTTTCGAATGCAGCCTAAATACTTTTCATCATAAATTGACTATTAGTGAGATTGATATGAAACCATAAAAAGGCACAACTTCAGGTCAAGACTTGGAGAAGATACCAAATTTAACCATAAAAACCCATTGTATCATATAAATACACTGGCCACAAAATTTTGCTTATTTTCTTAATAATGTGGATAATTTTTTTTTTTTTAGACGTACACCGACGAAGATCATGGAATCGCATCAACGAGATTACACCTCTACCATTCGATGGAGAATTTCCTGGGTGATTGCTTCAGGTCATGATCTTCGGACTGACGGATTAATTTAATATGAATGTATTAATACTAAAAAACAATCTTTTAGAACGTTATTACGACTTGTCTGTGTAAATAAATTACAACTGTACATAGTCCGTGTACAATATTGTAATATGAGTGTTCATGTAAATAACAATTGGATAATTAATTAGCCGCTGATCCATATGTAATTATAATCATTACTACCACTAATATAATTGAAAATAAATCTAAAATTAATATTAAATTTTAACTACTAATAATAATTAATATTTTATATTAGATTTGCGGCTATTAATTATTATAAAGTGACTTGATATTTAATGGACATTTTTTGAAGAAATTTATTACAGAATTAAATTTGTTGTCGATTCTAAAGAGCTTAAACAATGTTGATCATCATATTTTTACTGATTTAATATTATGCACTAAATTTCTTTTATTAGTACTTATAAAATTTTAATTTTAAAGGTAATTTTACTTCAAAATTCATTAAAAATTTTTTTATCGCATTTATTGATAATTTTTCTGTTTGTAAAATGCACTTAGTTGGAAAAAGTAACGCGAAAAGTCGCGTTGCAACGAATCAAAGTACCTATAGGCGATATCGATAGTTAAACAATGAATTTTATTACTTCTACTAAGACAAAAAAAAATTATATATAAATAAGAATGAACTAATGAAAAAATTTCTCTCAATTATTTTAATTATATATATGTTATCACTATTTTTTATTAATAAATAGCATATCTATTACTAGATGCGTTAAGGGTTTAACAATAAAACTAAAAAAAAGTTCAAGGTACTAAAATTCTTATACACTTACAGTGTAAATATGACTATCATTACATAGTTTAAAATTTTTTAATCCAAGGACCACTGTAATTTTTCAAAATCAAAGAGTGGATAACTACAAATATTTAAATAATAATCAAATACTATTGATAAGTGGATAAAATAAAATAAAATAAAATAAAAATATAAATAATTTAAACAAATAACTGTTAATGTTTATCTCGATTCAATGTAAATAAAGGATTTTATTGCAGTGTAATGCAATTTCATAAGAATATTGTTAATGGATTTAAATTTTTTTCATATAAAAAGTATAAAAAATATTAATTAATGATAAGTCACTATAGAGTTTTAACAATGCTTGTACACCCTAATTATTATTATTTGTTGAGTGTAATATAAAAAATATATAAAGTTTTATGGTTTATTAACATATTGTTTCAATTATTTCATAAAAATCTGCCTAATTTATAATTCCTTATCCAAAATAAATTTTTTTATCTTCCCGCTAAGAAAATTGAAAATTTTCAAAAGTTTGAAAGTTATTGGTTTTACCCCGTTTTTTGAAAATTGAATATTCAACGGATTTTGACGTTTTGAGGTCCTAGGAAGCTTCCCCGAATATTTCCACGATGATGTCCGTATGTCTGTATGTATGCACTGATAGAAAAACAATCTTGATTCAAGAAATTTTTTTTCTTCAAAACTTGAACTCTTGAAACTAGAGATAGATATATTTCTTTCAAGAATTTTTGTCTCTTGGTTCGAGATAGGCGATACATTGACTCCGAAATTCCTAGTTCGATCAATTCAAATTTGAAAGTTCTTTATTAGATTTCAAAAACTGCGTCGAATGACGCCAACCGCGTGAAAATCAGTTCATTCATTCATAAGTTATTGCGATTTGAAAATTCAAAAAATAGTGTTTTATGAAACTTCCAACAAGTTTTGGAGCTCAGAGAGCTCAAAAGCGTAATAGGTGAAATTCTGAGCGCTTAAGTATGGAATTAGCGGGAAGTTGCAGGGATGACCTTTGGGGTCAACCGTTTTCCTAAATTTTTTTTATCTATTTCATTTTAAATTCTCACTTTAATTTATTAAAAATTTATTATAAATAATTTGTTGAATAAAATTTATATTTTCAATAAAAACTCATGAATTTTCCGTTTCTTTGAATCTGAAAAAATAAAAAAATAAATTAATTTCGGCTGATAAAAAGTAGCAGTACTGTATTTAAATAATTAATCAAAAAACTTACTTGCACTTGAGACACGTATAAAATACAGTTTGTCCTTCATCGGCAGACCGTAATTGCAAGGTAACATATGACATTTTGTCATTACCGCATTGAGGACATTTCCTCTCAATCTGTGGCCCCGAGGATTTATCTTCAGCCTTTGGTTTTTCGTACGTATATTTATTATTATAATTAGTCGTAATATCTAGCGCCATTGATCCAAATCCTAAAAAGTTAAATTAAATATAAAAATTAATTTATCAGATATTTAATAATTTTTTAAATTTTGTTAACAAATAAATTATGAAAAAAAAAAATCGACGTAGAAATTTTAAAAAATTGTAAATGCTATTTTTTAAAAATAATTCTTTGGAACAAATAAATTATGGTAAAAAAAATCGACATGTAGAAATTTTAAAAAATTAAAAATGCAATTTTTTAAAAATAATTTTTTAGAACAAATTAATTTGTTAAAAAAAATTAAAAAATGATCAAGTAACTGCTAATTTTAATGTTATAAATTAAACTTAAATTAGGAATTGAGAACAGAAACAAAACATGAATCAAAGGAATAGGTTATGAAATTAAAAATAAAAATACTACTCACTCTCTGGACCCCATTCACGTTTACAAATATAACAGACAACACAATTGAATTCTCGCAAAAGAGGTAAGATAGATCCACACTCAGAACAAAAATTTGATTCCGCGTCAAAAAATGCACTTTGCTCACTTTCCATGTTTTTATTTCACTTTTTTTAAAACCTTTGATAATATTTATGTGAATTCACGTGGTTTAGTCAATAACGACCAATAACACAGTAAAAATTTCCGTACTCATGCCGATATATTCAAACGCCATCTTTAGTCACGTGTCATGCGCGCGCAGGTGGAACGCGGAATTGAAATGTGCGCAAAAATTAAAAAAATTGAAATATTTTATACAAATAATTTATTATAAAATTATTTTATTTAATTTATAAGTAATTAAAAAATTTATTTAATTGCAGGTATAAAAAATTAAAAAATGAAATTATCTCACATGATTGCTAGCATCATGATGGGGGTAACATGGACACAAGCCGTTAAAGGGTAATTAATTAATTGTAAAAAATTTTGAAAATAAAATTAATTATTTGATCGTTTTTTTAACAGAAACAATTGAAAAAAAAATTCCACACATAAAAATTATCAATTACAATAAATGCAATTTTAAAAAATAATTTAATTATTAAATAAAATCCAAAAATGGTCACAAAAAATTCTAGACAAACTTTAAAAAACAATAATTTTTTCAGAAATCGGTACTCATTATTCGATTTCACAACAGCCAGCAATGTAGACAATTGGTCAGAAATTTCAGACACCGTTCGAACGCCAGGAATGTCTAAGGCCGTACTAACTCTACAAAAAACTCAATTATTTCAACGCGGAATTTTCTTTACGCTCTTGAACCCCCAGCCAAACGGAGCCGGATTTGCCGGAGTGCGAATGCCTACTACCTGGGATTTAAGCGGATACACCAGTATCGAAATAAAGTGTCGCGCCCAGGGCAACAACGAGCACTACAAGGTTGTTTTGAGACACAAAGGTCTTTCTTCAAACGATGACACCTCTTACGAACAGACTTTCGACGTGAGTATTCATTTATTTCCCTATACGGAAAAAAGTAAACTGTACTTAATATTCACTCGGATTCTGGTTAGTTTTTATAGTTTCAAACAGTAAAGCGGACATCGGGGTGGCAAAAATATAAATATTACAAAACTTAATGTAGAAAGTATAAAAGCCACAATTTATAATTTAATATCCAAAATAAGTGATTAGTAGTTGTCACTATAGTAAATAACGACTCTTTCATCTTAAAAAATTACAGTTTCAAACAGTAAAAATTGCCATTTCAATAGACCATATTATGAAGAGAAGGGGGTCTCACTCTGGAAGGAGAATTTAACATTTGAAACTGTAAAAATTATACTTTTATTAAAATATACATTTTACCAGTCTAAGCAAGTCAATAATTACAGTTTGATTTTTAGCGTTGCGTTTAAAATTTACCATTTTACTTTGTAAATATTGACGTTGCTTTTATTAGAAATTTACTAACTTTATTTTATACTTTTTACATATCATAACATCATTTTTTAGGTACGAAATGATAAATATTAAAGTCTGAATTCTTAATTATTATACTTTAACATTTTAGACATTTACATAGCGAATATTACTGCTTAAAAAAGTATTTTCTTCCATGTAAAGAGTAAATTGTAACGTTTAAATGGTAAATATTATAAAGTGAATAGTAAAATCACGATTTTACTGTTTGAAATGGTATTTTTTAGCAGTTGATCATTACTTATTATAAATCGACTGTTATTTATTACAGTTTAGTTTTTTCCGTGTCGAAAATCCCTAATTTTACTAATAAATCTCTATTCCAGGTTCCAGTGACAAATAAAGAGTTTTCAACAATAAGTTTACCCCTGAAAAACTTCAAGCCTTACTATCGGGGTCAGGAAGTACTGAATGGAACTCCGCTGGACACGGCAAACATAACAACGTTTGGCTTACAAGTTTTCGGCGGTGTTTACTCGCCATTTAAGCAAAGCGGCGTGTCAGCTCTCGAAATTGAAACGATTGTTGCAACTATTTAAGCATTTATGTAAATATTATTGTAATTATTCGTAAAATTACAGCTGCCGAACAAATCCGCACATTATTAACGATCAACTACGATTATGCGTACTGTAAATTAGATATTAGATACAAATTAATGTTTTCATACATGAATAATGAGTAATATATAATATACATTTGTAATAAAATGAATTATTGGAATAAATATCATAAAATAAATGAAAATAGAACACGCTCGATTACACTTTAATAAAATAGACAGTGACACGCGAACTTTATAAAATATTGTGTATATAGGTATAGATATTTTTGTTTGGTCGTCTTTGGTACGACTGGTACCTCAAGTAAATGTTAAATAATTTTTTTTTTATCATATTTTATAGTCCTGTGCATAGGAAGTATACAAGGATATAGAGTATATTTTTGTAAATCGATTTCCCGGGGATTTTTATCAGCCAGCCAGTTTAAATCGGTCCGGAGTATGACATGGTAGCCTCAGCAACTGGGTAAAAAATATTTTTTTACTTAAAAATTTATTACAATAATTGTAATTAATAAAAATCTTTGGAAATAGAGTTACGCAAACACTATTCGACTTCACGCGGACAGACCAGGTCAACAATTGGACAGAGTACTCGGACACTGTCAAGCCGGCGGGGATGTCCAAGGCAGTTCTGGTGATCCAAAAGACTCAACTAGTTCAGCGAGCTATTTTCTTCTCCCTGTTCAACCCGCGGCCCAACAAAATAGGATTTGCAGCTGTACGCTGTGATACTAATTTTAATCTACAGGATTTTAATTATGTGACGATAAAGTGTCGCGGACAGGGCATTAATTTGAGGTACAAAATGGTTTTGAGACACAGAGGCATTATTGATAATAATTCGATGGTCTTCGGGCAAGTATTTACGGTAATTTAATTTTTTATTATTATTCTTTTTATATTAGCTTCATTAAGTATAAGATTATCTTTTAAATTATAAATCTTTAATTTTTTTTGTTTTTTTAAGGCACCAGAAAATGAATTCTCGACGATAAAACTACCGCTGGCTGATTTTAAACCGTATTATCGCGGACGTGAGTTACCTGTAGAAGAAAATCCGCTGGATTTAACGGCGATTACAAATATTGGACTTAAAGTTGATATGGGACCTTATTTGCCGGATAATCAAGCTGGCGTTGCGGCTTTAGAAATTGATTGGATTAAAGCTACTAAATAATAACTATTATTATTTACTCTACTCTATTATATTTTTATTTATCAACTAATATCACCAGATTGATATTTTAAAATATATATTAAATAATAAAAAAAAATCAATGTATAATAAAATTTATTTTTATCTGTAATTGGGGTAATTTGAACATATCTAGTACTCCAAAAATTACATCGTAGTTTTAAATTATATTTTTTTTTAATTTAAAAATAAATCTATTTCAAAAAATAAAAATCAATTTGCAAATTTGATCTCAAATCATTTTTTTAATAAGAAATAAAAAAATTCTAATTAATATTTTACTTTTTTTTCATGATGATAAATTTAGCAGACATTTAATAATTTTTAGAATTATTTTTAACAAATAAATTATGGCAAAAAAAAATATAAAAAAAATTGACATGTAGAAATTTTGAAAAATTAAAAATACAATTTTTTTAAAATAATTTTTTGGAGCAAATTTTTTTGTTAAAAAAAATTAAAAAATTATCTAGTGACTGCTAACTTTAATGTCATTTTTTTTCCCCATGAAAGATTTTTTAAGGATGAAAAAATTTGATGAAAATTAAGAGTTAGCCGACATTTAAAAATTTTTAGAATTTTTTTGTATTGAAAAAATTATTAGATAAAAATAAAAAAAAAAATTTAATTTGTAAAAAACTTGAAAAACTGTGAGTGCAATTTTTAAAAAATATTTTTTTGTTCTAATTTAATTATTGAAAAAAAATTAAAAACCTTTAGTATTATAAAAATTTGAACAATTGACAACTCCAGCTGGGAAACCGCCAGTTTATAAATATTGGTTATGGTTTTCGACAGTGTGCTTCTGTCTTCAAGCCAGTAATCAGTTTGAATACAATGGCTCCGGTAGACAACTCTCCAACGAGCAACATGGGCGGTTTCGAGCTGGTTTGTTCCTCAAAAGCGAACGATACCATCCCGGTTCACAAATACAAGTCCACTAAAACCGGGATTACAGTATGTATTGGCGAGGTCGACGGCCCTATCGTCGGAGGGAACTTCTGTCTGGGTAACTACCGCTTAACCTAAAAATCCCCACAGACATAAATAAACAAAGCTATTTTTATTATAATTAATTATAAATAAAATTTCAGCGACTCAGGCTTTTGATGATGATGGGCTGCCGCATACCCTCGAGCACTTGATTTTTTTGGGCAGCGAGGACTATCCTTACAAAGGAGTCCTGGACCTTCTGGGAAACAGATGTCTCGCTTCTGGGACCAATGCTTGGACTGATCGAGATCATACTAATTACACGATGACTACTGTCGGCAGCGAGGGATTTCTTACTCTGATGCCTATCTATCTGGATCACATTCTTTTTCCTAATCTAACAGTGAGTCAATTTAGATTTTTTTTTCGTAAATAATTATAAAAAACAAACTTTAAAAAATTTCATTTGTAGAAAATTGAAAAAAAATTACAATAAGTGCAATTTTTAAAAAATATTTTCTCAGTAGTAAATTTATTTTTTAAATACACAGAAAAAAAGGTTCACTTGAGCCAAGAAAATATTTTTCTTCCTAATTATTTTCTTGAGTGAAAAAAAAATTTTTTTTTGACAAGAAATTTTACTTATTTCAACAAAATTAATTCTCTTGCTTTAAGAAATACGTATCTTGATCCAAGAAAATTTATTTAAGCACGATGACTACTGTCGGCAGCGAGGGATTTCTTACTCTGATGCCTATCTATCTGGATCACATTCTTTTTCCTAATCTAACAGTGAGTCAATTTAGATTTTTTTTTCGTAAATAATTATAAAAAACAAACTTTAAAAAATTTTTTGTAGAAAATTGAAAAAAAAAATTACAATAAGTGCAATTTTTTAAAAAAATATTTTCTCAGTAGTAAATTTATTTTTTAAATACACAGAAAAAAAGGTTCACTTGAGCCAAGAAAATATTTTTCTTCCTAATTATTTTCTTGAGTGAAAAAAAAATTTTTTTTTGACAAGAAATTTTACTTATTTCAACAAAATTAATTCTCTTGCTTTAAGAAATACGTATCTTGATCCAAGAAAATTTATTTAAGCCAAGAAACTCTTCTTGTTTTGAGAAAATTCAGCCTCTTGCTCCAAAAAATTTAGTTCTTGATAGAAGTAAATTTTCTTGTCTTGAGAAAATTTATCTCTTGCTCCAAAAAATTATATATAAAGATAGAAGTTAATTTCCATTAATATTTTTATTGATTAACATGTCAAATGGGAAGATCAAATAATATTTCATCATTTTTTTCCATTCAATATATATAATTAAACGTTAAAATAATATAAAATGGGTATCAAATATTCAAGAGAAAAATTTTCTCAAGGTGAAAAAATTTTTTTCTAATCTGAATTAGGTGGCGCTGCTTTCCTGAAGTATCTAAAAATCTTGATCAAATATAAAAATTTATTATATCAAGTACTTATGATAATTTATGATAGTCACTGATTCAGTGTATCCTATTTAATTTAATTTAATTATTTTAACAATCTAGGTTTGACTTTTAGTCCAAACATGGTCTTACTACTACTATTACTACACATAAGCTTTATTATAAAAATATAATTGTTATTTTTTTTTTTCCTTATGGAACCCGCTTATTGGCATTACTGTAGGGTTTAATGTACTGTTAAATAAATAAATAAATAAATAAATAATTTGAATTAAGAAAAATTTACTTCCACCAAGAATAGAATTTTAAGAAAAATTTTTATTTCGACCAACACAACTTCGGTCTTCCTTCAGGTACCCGAAAATTTTCTTAAGCCAAGAATTTTGTTCTCCAGTCAAAAAATTTTTCTTTCTGTGTAAAATAAAAATATGATCAACTTTTTTTTACTGAATAATAATAAATAAATTTTTTTTTAAATTCCACTTGTACAATAATTAATAAATATTTTTTAAATATTAATTTATGTCAAAAATAAAATTTAAAAAAATTTTCTAGGACTCAGCATACCTCACAGAAGTCCACTATATATCAGGCGAAGGCGAAGACCGCGGAGTAGTCTACTGCGAGATGCAAAGTACCGAGAACACTGGAAAAACTCTATCAAACACAGAACTAACCCGCGCAATGTACCCCGGAAAATGCGGATACAAGTCAGTAACCGGGGGAATAATGCAGAACCTCAGAGAGAGTACAAACAACGAAAAGGTCAAAGAATTTCACCGTCAATTCTACCGACCCGAGAACCTGACAATAATAATCACCGGGCAGATCCAGCACGCAGAAGTTTTCAAAGCTTTGCGTCCGTTGGAGGAAAAAATCCTCTCTAAAGGCAGTCGCGGTCCATTCGAGCGCCCTTGGCATGAGCCAATCCCCCCATTCACCGAGAGTGTCGTCAACGACATTCTTTATCCGTGCGACGACGAAGACAACGGAATAGTCAGCGTAGGCTGGCGCGGGCCTTCAGGAATAACCGAGGTCTACGAGTTAACAGCTTGCTCTCTTTTGCTGAAGTATCTCACGGACAATTCGGTGAGTCCAATCCAGAAAGAGTTTGTAGAAATTGATGATCCCTACTGTTGCAACGTCGACTATTACCTGACGGAAAACTCCGAGTCGATGCTCCAGTTGTCCTTCAGCGGAGTTCCTATTCCCAAAATTCCGCTGGTGAAGAACCACCTGACCAAAGTTCTAGGGGACATTCTCCAGAGCAATGAAGTCGACGGAGGGATAGACATGCCAAGAATGGCCACGGTTATCCATCGTCACCAGCTGGAGACTCTCAGCAGCCTGGAGAACATGCCTCATGATGCAATCACCTACATGCTGATCGGCGACGCGCTCTATGGCCGTGATGTCAGCGACTTGGAGCAGAGATTGAATACTATCGAGGATTTGAAGAAGCTGGGCAAAGAACCTGCGAGTTTCTGGATTAATTTGCTGAAGAAATATCTTATCGACGCTCCCTCGGCGGTGATTAATGCTACGCCGAGTATTGACAAGCAGAAGGAGATGGACGAGCAGGAGAAGAAGCGCATTGCAGAAAGAATTAAACAACTGGGCAAAGAAGGGCTTGAAGAAAAAGAAAAAGCGTACTTGGAAGCTGTCAAGCAGAATGATGCTCCCATTCCTGATGAAGTTCTGAGCAGCGTCCCGGTTCCTGGAACTGACTCGATTAACTTCCATCACATCCGGAGCTACACCACTGGAGGCGGTGATCAGCACCCGAGACTTGATGTTAACAAGTTGTCGCTGTTTACCTACTTGGATCACGTCAATACTAACTTTGCTTACTTGTTCGTGGTGATGGACACTCTCAAGGTACCCAAGGAAGCCAGACCTTACATGCCACTGATCTTAGAAGCCATTGGAGAGTGTCCTATTAATAGAGAAGGAGAGCTAGTGCCGTATGAAGACGTCGTTGCGGAATTAGAAGCTGATACCATTGCTGTTAGCTTGAGGATGGGCTTTGAAAGCCCTTCAAGGTTTACTTGTGGTGCTTACAGTCACAGTGTTAATTTAATGCTGCAGGTAAATATTTTTTTTTTTTAATTTCAAGCGTAAATTATTAAAATTTAAATTTTTTATACAACGCAAAAAAAATTATGATTGAATTTCGCAGCTTGAATTGTCAAAATATCCTAAAGGCGTTCAATGGATCAAAGAATTACTTTACGACACTAAATTCACACCTGAGAGATTGAAAATAATTTCTTCAAAGCTGCTGAATGAACTAACCCAGTGTAAAAAAGCAGGGAATAAAATCACTGGAGATTTGATGCGAGGATTGATATACAGCAAAGGTAATTTTTAATTTTCATTGATATAATGATACAATTACAGATATTTATTATTTTTTTTGGGATTACAGAGAGCAATCACTTCAATTCGAGCTTACTGCGCCAGCAACAATTCCTGACAAAACTGGCCACTAGGTTGGGAACGCCAGAAGGCCAAGCAGAAGTTGTCGCTGAAGTAGAAGCTGTCATGAAGATCCTGACTGCTAAAGACCACATGATTTTGTATATGGCGACTAATGTCGATAAATTGAGCGCCCAAGTAACTGAATTGTACAAGCCCTGGTGGACTTTCTTTAATTTCGACAACTTTGATACGTTTGATAAAAATAAGTAAGTAAATAACTAGCAACTTTGCAGTCACTACGTGACTGCAGTGACTTGTGAACTATAAATAAACAAAATTTGCTTTATTAAATAGTGACTTTAATTAAATTGTACTGTACTTTCTTAACTATTGACATTTTTTAAGATATAAACTCATTTCAATGTTACACTCATCGAGACCTTTTATTTGAGTACCCACATGTCATTTTTTATATATTTTACATATATGGTATTTGTGAAATATATATAATGTATATAAATATATGAAAAATTGATATGGGTATTCAAATAAAAGGTCTTGATGAGTGTAACATCCGGATGAGCTTATATCTTTAAAAATGTCAATAGTTCACAAGATACAAAATCATTCTTAATTATGTATCTAAAGATAGAGCATCTGTGCCCACCGAAAAAAAGAGGTGATTTTCGGGAATTTTTTTGACAGGGAAAATAAAGGAATTTGGGAATCGAGTTTTTTTTTATTTCATTAAGGGTACATTAAAAATTATTACCCTAAATTTTTATTAAAAAATATTTAATTATTACAAAATAATTAACAATCTCGTCGAGCACTGGAGAAAATTTCCCCCCTCCACGGTCGGTTCGATAACTCAAAAACAGATCATATGAAAATAAAAACCCAAATTGCTTTTTAATCAGTAAGGATGTAGTTATCGTCGCACGTACGGAATTTGAAAAATTTTTTTAGCCGGGTTAAAACAAAAAAAAAACAGTCAGAATAGTGAGAAAATTTTCAATCAGTCGCCATTTTTTTTTAAATTAAAATTTTCAAAATTCCGTACGTACGACGATAACTACATCCTTACTGATTAAAAAGCAATTTGAGTTTTTA